ACACATATATACATATATATATCTATATATACATTTGTATTACAAATCTCTGTTCCTTGCACGTTGCTCGTAACCTTACCTGACGTATCAGAAAAGATTTACAGTGGCTCGAAATCGCTATACGCCTAATGGCTATTTCGCCACTTCGTAAATCTTCAATCGATCTTGTTAGTATCTATGCTCACTCCTCGGCAAAATATTTAATAAGATAACAAGAAGAAACGCCATATTTACATATAAAAATATATCTTATCGTGATTGATCGATGGATCTATGTATAATATACATGTACATATTATACGAATATAGATAAAACTTCTCTTAACATACGCCGCGATTCGTTTGATACGTTTCCATACATCACAATTTTCTTGGTAATCCGATGTAATTATGGTAAGCAATGTATGTAATACCACAGAAGTGGAATGGTCCAATCTGGAGAATGTTCAATATTATTTGCTTCTTGATTTTGCTATAAACTCTAAACTGCAGTCTTTTTATTAGACCATATCATTTATGATATTGTTATTATGTTTATTAAAGGACTTGAAAGCAAATTATAAATATTTAATTAGGTTTTATATATACAATGTATAGTTAATTGTTTATGGAAAAGACTCTTCTAAATATATATGTATATGTATATATTCTATAATAATTACAAAATATATTAAATACACAAAATCTTAAACAATTAAAATAATTCATTTTGTAATTGTTACTAAAATTGATATCTACAACTATATTGCAAAAATTAAAAAAATTAATTAATTCAAGAATTAATTAGTTTATTCTCTATTCAATTATCTTTTTAAGATTCTCTCTCTAAAAACTTAAAATCATAGATTTTTATTTACATTGTTATTTCAATAGCAACTTTCAGAAATAATTATTATAAAATAATTTGCATTATTGGCAGCATTAACTATATAAAAACGGGCTGATTATTTTCTTATATCTCTATCATCTTTGGACATGCTGACGTTTTTATTAAACAAAACGCGCTTTATAAAGAAGAATGGATTCTGAATGCAATTAAATATTCCGTAAATATACAAGTGGCTATACGCCTCGCCTATTTGTGTGAAAAATTGCATGACTTTCCGTTAACTAGGTCGAGCGTTCGGTTGCTCTTAGCAAACAAGTAGCGAATCCTTGTTGGCACTTACGTCAATACATACCGCGAATATTGGATAGTCTGCTTTGAATAGTAGAGAAATACGCCGTAAGGTAACTAACAGGAAGAAAAGAAAAGAGGACTTTCGCGGTACTTCCTCGATAAGAAGCATCTTTCTCGGCTAAGTCCAAATTGGACCTATCCTCTTCCATATTCCGTACATGATGTCCTGAATGCGCTGCATGCGAAAATACTTTCTTTTTCAGAATACTGCAAGTACTATACGAATATGTACTTGTTACGCGATGTATGCATGCTTGCAGAAGACTAGTAAAATATTTATTTCTCTGTTTATGTTTTATTTTTCGTTGAAAAATTTTTGTCTATATCATTTATTATTATAATTTAATTTCCAAAAAGTTTCAGAATAGAAATTTAAGATCTTGCATTTAAAAAATTAATGTAAAAAGAAACTTGATATGGCATAATAATAACTATATATTATAAGCGTTATAAATTTTATCAATACATTAAAAATATGATTAGTCTGTTTTTTCAAACATATTTGAAGTGCAAATTTAATCAAATCGTTTAATAAGATTTTAGTAATAAATCAAATATATTAAAATTATAAACTTTAATAAATTTTAATACTTTTATTTCATCAAATAATTTACCTTTCTATCATAATTTTTTACTATAATTTTTAGCTATATCAATTGTGAGGATTGAATCTGATATATTATATACCTTCAGGACACCCTGTACAATTGTATCAGTCCAAATATCTCTTCGGGGTCGTTCGTCGGATTCCATCTATTATCTGGAAGTTATAACAAGGTTGTTTTACTAAGTTTATTCGGTCTGGTCATGCAGACTGTTCATTAGTTTCGCTTGCGTTTCTTCGCATTTAACTCGTTCGGCTCCCGTTTCATGCTCTTTTCCATCCTTTTGCTTCGCTCTTGCACAATATGATGTGGCGAATGGTGCACAAATAATTTACAGTAGTATTTGGAGTATAAAAGCCCTTCTGAGCTGGGAATTTCGTAAAATAAAATTGCAAGATGGAATAAAATAGAGACAGAGAGAGAGAGAGAGAGAAAGAGAGAAAGAGGGAGGAGAAAGAAGCGGAAGAAAAAAAGAAG